CCTTCCAGTGGCGGTGGGCGAACAAAATAGGGCAGTTTTCCGCGTTGGAAGTCATTGAGAACGCGTTTGGCAGTTGCGATGATATCCGGTTCGCCGCCCTACAAAAAATCAACAACACATTAATCAACATTAGCATAGGATTGAATGGTTACCCGCTGGCAGAACTTCTTGTGGGGAAAAGAACGAGGGAACAGATATATTGGAAGGTCGTCGATGACGTCAATTGGTGTCTGAGACAGGTAAGGGCGACCGATGCTCTCTCTCTCTCTCTTTCTTCAGCCATCAACTGAGCAGGTGATGATTACAAAGGTGGAAGGAATAACTGTTTATCTGGTTATATATATATATATATTCTATAACTGTCGTTTGCTTTTCGTGGATGCCTTTATCTCTGACGATAGACTCCCGCAAGAGCCTGAAAGCTCAGAATAATAAACAACTTAATCCGGTGCTCGACCTTCCTTCTTCCTCAAGCATGCAAATACCTGGAACTCGAACGTTCTCATTCATTCGTGAAGTGGTTATCTGTCATCCTTTGACACACGCCGTGGTTTGGCAGTCCACCGTCGATTTCAACAATGTACATCGTATGTCCCATAACAGGGTGGTTCAGGGGCAGTTACCTGCGTGTGAATTAGTTTTAGTGGATAGTAGACCTGCGCAGCATCTACCGCACTCTCTCTCTCTCTTCTTTCATCCACCTGAGCCCAGTGTCAAGACACAGTCAAGAAGACCGTATGTGGCTGACTCGACCGAAACCGCCCTTACGCGTGCTACTAAAGCTCCTCCCCATTTTTGGGCATTTCCTTTATTGGCGCGCAACCCGAATAACGCCTGTCGTACCCTGATCTGCCCCCCCCCGTGTGTTGGTCCAGCGCATCTAACGCGCGGCCCGTTTAGGGAACGAGGTACGGGCTGGCACAGAGCCATTTATCTTCTGTATCGGCGACCAAAAGCAGCTAGTGCATTCAGTAACCCAGCCTGAAGGTAACATGTTTCTAGTACGGACAAGGTTATCTGCAAAACATGCACCACGGAGCATGCGACAAAACGCGAAAGTGCAGACTAATTGCATCTGCTAATTACGTCCAGTTCAGTTCGGTTTATTTGAAGGAAATGTAGGTCTGTGTGTGTGTAGCCTTTAAGTCCCTAATTGTTTGCATGCACGCTTTCTTAATAAATACAAGTGTGGCAGACAGTGGAAACGGAATAGTCACACAAAATCTTGGTGCGAAGGAGCAGACTTGTGCAACTTTTTTGGAAATAGTACTCCGGCTTATTGGCGATGCCAAATGACACGAGCCAATGAGGTGGACATTTGTGGATGTTTAAAAAAACTATCGCTCATGGGAGCAAAGTATGCCCCAGATAGGACCCCATGCCTTCATGGGGGGCATGTAAGGGCTGCAAAAGCTTCGTGTCTTGGGAGAAATCATTCAACGCCAGGGCCGAACTTACGTCACCGTACGACTAGCTACAGGAGCAACTGTCGGGAAGGCGAGACAGGGGACTTTACCTCGGGCAGTTGGTTGACAGCTGATCAGAGCAAAAAAGGCATTTGTTACGGTCGATGGACCGGAATGTGGATTCTTGACGTGTTCACAGCAGTTAACCCAACAGCGGGTTTAAGCCGCCTGAGTAGCATTTCCAGGCTAGTTAAATAGTCAGTAGTAGGATTTAGTTAACCTTTAAGTGGGTGCTTTAGATCCACTTTTCGGCTCGACTGACTTACCATCACCGGGCATCGGGAGAAAAAAGATTACAATCTATACTTTTTTAACGTCCTACAATCAGTATATTCCGATCGCAACTGTTAGGATGACCGAGCACGTCACCCAGAGAGACAGACAGTCCGAGGTCACGTCAGAACGGGCAAAGTCGCGCGACCTTCAAAGGGCGGGACACTAGGCTAGGACAAAGGAGTCACGAGTGAGCCA